TCATGTGTATGTGCACATATTCACACACACCCACACACAACCACATCTCCCCACTCTCCACCCCCCAACACACACTGAAATATTTTTTAAAAATCCTGAAGAAAAGAAGGGAGTGGTAGGTAACTGTTGAGACTATTGAGGACTTGGGTTCCCAGGGCTCCCTGGAAGCCCCTGTCAGGGCTGGGCATGGAACCACAGTGTTTGTAGCAGAAGCACATGGTTACAGCTTTGGCACTAAATGAGTGTTTAAGTTATCAGGATGAATTATTTATTTTCTAATTAATTTCTTGTCTCCCATTCTCTCTCCCTTTTTTGTTTTCATAAAATGGTTTCTGATTAACAACCAAATAAGGCAGACAGAAGAGAAAGCCAAGGTTAAAAATGAAACGATGATAGACAAATTAAGGGACCTTGAATATAAGGTTTATAAATATATTCATTGATTATCTCTAACTAACCTCAAATCAGTCAAACTAAAAAAATTTGAAGGAAGAATGGTTGTTGTTGATTTTCATTGAACTAAGTCTCAACGTAGACCTATAGAAGTGCTTACACACACACACACACATACACACACACACACACACAAAACCACTTTGAATATTCCATTGTGTTATTTCTAGAAGGTTGCTGCTGTCTCTATTAAGGGTTGAGTGGCTTTGTTAAAGTTGGAGGCTTTTCCTGCAAAACATGGTTGTGGTTTTTTCCCCACTGAATGGAGGCTTAGAGAAGGAGAGTCTGCTTTCCGACCACAAACACAACGCTTTGTTTTGGCTGATGGTCAATAGCAGTCGACTTGTTAGCATTTTTCTTAGATCTCAGACATAGGCTAGATGGTCATTCATATTCAATTTATTTTAATATGCAAACTCAGCATCAGATACCCTGAGAATTTCTCTTTCTACTGGGCACATCTTACCTTGCCGACATACAAAGGGTCAGTCCCAGTATACTCTTCCAGGACAAAAAACTGATTCCAAACCCAGCTCCTCTTGCTTCGCTGATGTGACTGTGGCCTTTCTGAGAAGAGTGTTTTCAATTCAACTTCTGGCATGGGAGTGCTGGAGAGAACGGTGGTTGTAAGGTCCATCAGTGCCCAGAAGTACAAGGATGTGCCAAGTCCAAGCCAATTCTTTGCATTGCTCATTCTACCCGTAGTCCACATGGGCTTGCAGGAGTTTCAGAAGTCAAATAGAATGACAAACAGTGGGGTTGAGTATTTTCCAAATAAAACAAGCCACACCACAGGTTATTGGAAACTCATTTCTTCCCAAAGGAAGTCTCCATTCAAGTCAAGCTGACGTCCTGTCAAGTTAAGGGAAACATTGTCAGGGGATTCTTTCTGGGGCTGCCTATAAGTTTTCCAGAAATGGCAGTAAATAATTTGTCTTCTGCTCAGGTCAATTGGTTATTCCTTATGAAATATCTAATAATAAATAATATTTTGGTTATAAAAAGATAATATATATGCTATGATCAGCTCCAAACATTTGGTTTTGGATTCTGAGACAATATAACTTGTAAAAGCAAAAAACAAAACACTTCTCAACAGTAGCTTACCTTAAGGGCTAGACTGTCTTATTGATAGTCTTGAAAAATTAATAGAATGTTCTTCAAAATATCTATAATCAGAAAGCCTCCTGAACTCTTCAGAATAGCATTCACTTCTAAAATTTATATCTACCAACTAACATTTCTATTAGCTCAACTGATTTTTTGGTTTATTAAAAGAGAAAAAAATTGGACTTTTTTTCTTTTGCTAACAACAATTATCTTTTGCCTACTCCTGTTATTGATTATGCTATGAATCTTGGGCTTCATTTATAAGCAGCCATAGATGACAACTTGTAACTTTAATCATTCTCTGAACTCATGAGAATCAAGTTTCACACTCTACTGCTTCAGCTGTGGAGTGCTGATAGGGGCTGCTAATGTGACCTTTCAAGGATGTGAATGGTCAGTTAATCATTATATCCTTCACAGGGGACTTTAAAGTGCTATTAGTCATATGCCACTACGAGTAAGCTAAGAGTCGTTCTAACAGATTTCCTTTCCTGGCTCGAAAGACTCATTTAGGCAAAGGAACATTAACTTCTACCCAGGAAACACCTTTTCATCAGTCACACTTCTTCTGTGGCTGAGGAGTCAGATTTAACCCATGACCTCACTCCTTGGCTATGACCTCATCAACCTTTTCTTCCCTTCCATGCCTGGGTTTAATGAGAGAGCCTTGCACTCAGACTACTCATCAGAGCACTGGAAGTGTTTTCTGTGCACTTAATATTTTCACTGTTAACTGCTGCTGTGACTTGGAATGAACGTGGGCACCCAAGAATTTCAGGTCTGTGCAACTAAATCGTGACCTTTATTTTGAAAGAGGCTTAGAACAGATACAGTGATGCTAACTCAGGTCCTGCCTTCCACTTGTAATCTTCAGAAGAAGGTTGAGCATCCTCTGTAATTCTCCCCAATGAGATGCACAAAAAGACTTAGAAATATCCTGTAATCATTCATCTAGTGTTATTTCAGTTTGTGACAAGTCATATCCGTGGAGCTGTCAAAGAGGAAAGTCTAAGGAAACTGGTTTGTAACAGAGCAACAGAGAGGCTTTGCCTCTTCAGAGCTATGACCTACAGATAGATTGTGTTTTAAGGAAAGCAAATGCCAAGTGTGCCTTATTTTGGCTAATTTGTGGTATTGTTAGAAGGTGAGTTTCCAGACAGCAGGAGTTCTTTCTCTCTGTGAATTCACCAATAGAAACATAGGTACCTTTTGTTGGTCTCTTTCTAAGGGGAAGTGTTTTAGAAGGAAGATCCTTAACATGAGAGGTGAATTGTGGAAAAGTGTTGATGAGACACAGTTATGCTATCTTTGGGACATATAAGATGAAGCAGAGGGTATCACCCCACAAAACTGGTAGGCAGATTACCATGCTTGGGAATGGATGGTCTATGTATTATCAACACACTCATTTCCACAAAAGCAACAGACTAAATTAGACAGTTTGTTCTCTGTTTCCATCTTTACCCCTGATTTGTCTATCTCAAGTCATCAAGACTTTGATTAGAACTCTGCTGATTTGCTCAGTGAGTGGCTCGCACGTTTTCTTTCAGTATCTGTTAAGCAGGAACAGTAGTTCTCCTGTCCTCTCCACAGGAGTCTCATGAGGATATGATGGTACAATGAAAGTTAATGACAAAAGTAATCACTGGAATTTGGAGAATCACATAAACTGCCAGGCGTGTATGTGAAAATAATGAAAACAAGCATAAAACATGTTTCATGGACACAGCTGGGAACAAAATCCTACAGGAATGTGTAATGAAATCATCCCACTGCTCTCTCACATGTGTTGAGTACTGTTTGATAGAAGATTCGAGCTCAATTCAATTCTATAGTAACCACTCATGGCTTTTCCTTATGAAGAAACTTAATAAAGGGACAGCTACTAGAAAACTCTGTAATAGCAGAGAAAGTTTTTTTTATAGATTGCAGTTATCAACATAGAATGTGCTTTATATGTGTGCATACATGTGTATTTTGGCCAATGTCTGGGCTTCATACAAGATTTCTCTCTAGCACTCTTATTTTTCTCTGTTTTTTTTTTTTGAGCACCTTGTTCTGTGTGTTTGTGTGTGTGTGTTTGTGTGTGAGTGTGTGTGTGACTGTGTTTAAAGGCTCCTACTCTCTTCCCACTGACTAAAGTTCATGAACAGAGCAAGATTTGAGGAAATGTTGAGAGATTTTAAGTAGTGACCTTATATTCTCCTACCTCTCATAAATAGACAAGTATCATTGCCAATTCAGCTCTCCTGTCCTTACCTATAGGTATGATCTGAAGAGTTCAAACAAAATTCAGTAGAAACTTTGTGATGAATATTTCATGGGTAGTTCAATTGCCTCAACTTTTCTTTCCTTCTCTTGTCTAATTGGGCTCCCTACAAATAAGTGTAAAGTTTTTATTTTCTCTTCTTTCACTTTATATGTCTGAAAGTGGTTTTGGGGTATTTGGGGCATGTGGAGCCCTCCGAGATTCTGTGAGAGGTGGTAGTCTCTGGGTCCTCTAACTCAGCAATGAAAATTTCCATGCACGTAAACTCTGTGTTAAGGAACTGAGTAGTGACAAATGATGGAAGGCAAACTGGTTTTGCTTCCTCAGGGTGAAACACAAAGGCAACAACTCTGCCTAAATTTTTGGAAACGAAAAGCCATGCTGTACAATAGTAACACTATTCTTATCATAGTTAGAGTTGCTGTCTACCACAGAAGGAAAAAAGAACCACCCATGTTAGACTTACTAACTATTTGGAACTATAGATGGTATGGTTCTCACACTTATATTTTCCTACAGATATGAGTAGATTACTTGTTTGAGGCTTTTTCCTGTTTCTGTAAATACAGATGCTGGCATGAATATCTATACACAGGTCTGCTTTGGGGAGAATACCCATGCCATGTGAAGACTACATTAGTGGAAATTGACTTCTGTGCTAAATGAATCCTTTAAAAGTTTCCACCCCTCCATTCTCCTGAAAGAAAGCAAACAGCTTGGTAATGAACACAGTAGGAGGAAATTAAAGTTGTGCTCAAAGTGTGTTCTCAGTGAATTGTTTGTTACTTAAATTCGTTGTGATATTTAAAATGTAGACACAGGATGGTTACTGCCTTCTCCTTGAAATGAACTGGGCTTTTATGGTCTTCCTCTGATTTCTTTCCTCATTATCCAGTTTTCCTGGGCTTTTCATGAAAATGGGGGAATTGCTTAGAAAACTTCAAATGGGGTCTTTCCAGAAGACAGTTAGAGACTCCCTATGGGAAGGTGGGATGCTTGCTTGGTTTGCTGCTGTGCTCTGATGCCTTTAGTGAAGTAGTGATGTGTGTTGACAGTGGTATCTGCTAACATATCTAAAACTTTTATCTCTTTTTGTAAACATAAAAAAAATCATGTAAGCTTCAGGGAGTTGACTTTCATCCACATCTTACAGGTCAAATGGACTACAGATTGGTACTTTTTAAGTTTCTTCACCTGCCTATTCCTGAGGGACAGATTCCTCTCTCTCTTCCCTGATCTTGAGACTTTACTCTCCTAACTACCAGGACCACAGACCCTGAAGTCTCAAATGTACACGCAAGATAAAAATGTCTCTAAACTCCTTTACTCTCCTTAACGTCATCTTTAGTCTCAAATCATATGTCCATATATATTCTGTTCCAGCAGATGCCCACCTAACTAAACACTGCAAACTGCTCTAAACTCACCAGCCTAGGTGCTTGTGATGGAATTTCCAACCAGTCTGAACTTCTGCATTCTAGATGGCTCCAAGGCAGCTAGCCCCAGGTGGTCCAGCCTTACAAACTACTCTAAATTGTCCTGCCCCAGATGGTTGAGAAGAGCCTGTACAGCAAGTGAAATAGGTGGCCTTGGCTAACATTCTAGCTTTCTTTGGTCCCTAACTATAATGCCCAATATCAGCAGGAAGCAGTCATAGAAAAGATTTTGTCTCCCCTTATCATTATTGTCAGCAAAAACTGTGATGTTAGCTCTCAAATCCAGGACAAACGGCTGAGGTTTCTATATAACATATCCAAGTGGACTTGGCCACCAGGATCTCCCAGCATCCCTCAGTCCCTGCCTGTTAGAGAGTGTGACTGGCAAATCATGCCCCTTACCCTAAACTGCTCCAGCTCAAGAGCTGGGAAGTTCTTCCTCCAGTTGCCCTTCCCTACATAATCCAGCCATTTAGGTTACCTAGCTTGTCTAATGCACTCTTTACTCTCCTGGTCTCCTGGCTCCCTGCCTCCCTTCTCCTTACATGGCCAAGCTCCGGGTCATTTTCACTCTGGACTTGGCAAATGTCCTTGTCTTTGGCTATGTTCTCCCTTTTATTTACAATAAAACCTCCTTTATTATACCTAGGAGAAATCATGTCCTTCCTTTTTCTTTCCTTCTTTTTTTCTCATTTAGTATCAGTGTTTTTACGTTGCTGTACGTCTTTGGCAATCAGGCTGATTTTAATCAAGAGCCTCAAAAATGCACTTCAAAGAAAACAAGGGAGGAGAAATTTCATGGAGATCTTAGATGTCACAGTGTAACATGACAGTATACCATAAGGTGCCCCACATTAAATCAGAATGTGTCTCTGCATCCCACGTTGTGCCATGTCT